ATATTCTTGAAAAATATTTATTAAAGAATAATATGAATTTAAATTGCGTTTGTCGTATTCTTTCATGCAAATTTAGATTTGCCGATGAGTACTCAAACAGAAGCAAACAATAAGACAAGATTGTGATTCTTACCTTAAGGCCTTCAACGCTGTCGATATCGCGGACATAAATCGGCAGCGTGAGCAAAGATGATAAATGACTTTGGAATAGAGCGCTTATGTTAAGAAACAAAATGAGTGCCATGCATAGAAAGATTCTGGTGGAATTGACTTCGGGTGGTCGGAAAACTCCCACGCAGACCATAAGTCTGATCACTTGCAGTCCTGCCTTCACGTATCCATCGTTCTTCACAAATATTATATAAATAAGCAGACATATCATGATTAGTCCCATTATTACTCCTGGCGACATAAACGTTATTAACCTGGTAAATTCTGAAATTGTTGCGACCGGCTGCGTCACCACACAAACGCCTGACTTTGTGTGAGGATACGTGTATCTGAATCCAATAATTGTTATTAAGATAATCAATAATTCATTATTTACTGCATTATACATGAAAGTAATCTATATTATTAATTATTTTGTGCAGTCTATAACAACATTTACTTTTTAACCTTAAGAAGACTTACGGTAAATTAATAGCCTTAATGTAGAAAATAAGATACAGAATTAATAAATTGTTTAAAAATATAATATTTAGATGGCACAAATTTATTTAATTCAATTCTTATACAAATTCTGCACGATCGGGATCTCAGAAATCAAACTTTCCGCAAGGTTTCTTAAGATCAGAAATTATTTTCTGTTTCTGTAGTTGATGTTAAAACGTACTTGACTTTCCATAATACGAACAAAGATCTCGTGTTCATGCCTATGTCTACTTCACCATCGCTTATAGGTGCCATCATGTCCTCAAAGGTACCATTGGGCCCAATACCGCCGAGCGCATATGGGGTGGCATTATAAAGCATGACATTGAGAGACGCTTGTATTTTGAATAAGAGTATTTTGATAATTTCACTGTTATCACCGAGAAATTTCTCGAGATCCGGTGCAGATAAATTGACCTTTATAAACGGTTTTACTTCAACGGCATTTAATCGAACAAGATAATTCTTTAGATTGTCAGTTTTATCAAAGTCCAAATTATTGCATATTGTTCTGTCTAAACATACAACGATTATTGTTAAAATTATGAAAAATTGTATAAAGTAGAAAATTTCTTTTTGCGAGTGACATACGAATTCTGCTATCTTTATGGCGTCTGCTTATAATTATTAAAAATAATTCTATTAAAAACAATAATCTAATCAAGAGATACGTACTGTGCACGAATCTTCGTTTCATTATTATATAAGGATGGCCATTTCGTCCATTGACACGTTCTACTTCGTTCCAATCGGGCGGTGTACTGTTCGAATACGGATTATGCGTGTAATAAAAAATCCCGTCCGGTTCGACGCACATGAAGATGACCGAGAGCAAGTCATATTTCCAAGCAGTCCAGAGAAATGAACGAGCGTTTATGCAACCCCGAGATTCGGTCTCCGTATCAACCAAGATAAAAAATCCGTCCGAATTCGCCCACGGTGAGTCCTTTGTTTTCTACGTAAAAGATGCAAAAAGAATTTCTAATCTTAATTACAATTAATAAAGAAGACTCTATGAAATTCCTTGTTTTTTATATTAACTTATTAAACTATTATGTTATCTTTTACCTGCAAAATCGATCGCAATATAGGCTGAGAAGATGCCACTAACACGAAGCGGTGCACTTTTCGAAGAAAATTAAAGAATTTAAAATTCTGATACAGTGTGAAGGAGTATCTTGTCAAGGCATACTTTTCTAGAGCGTTAAATCGAGAGCTACCGGTTTCCCCAATCAGAGCAACCGGTACATTGGCGAATAATGCTCTTCTAAGAAATTCGTTATAGTCTCCGCCTAAGAGTAAAGTTAACTCAGGCTCTAGTGGTCGACACCAATATAAAATCGATATCTTTAAAGTTAATATAGTATTAATTGTACCATAACAGAATGTATGCGTTTTTATATAAATGCCCGGTAATCAAAATGTTAGTAATGTTGGCAAATTTGATGAAATCTGCTGTTAATCTGTCAACATTGCTAATATTTAGCTGTCTGGATATACGTACTCGTATCTTTCACATTATAATGTATAATATGTACAGAACAGCTTGGGAAATATTTTATTGATTATTATGTTAAATAATTTTTGAAAATATAACTTACCGTTGCCTCGACTAAGTTTTCATAACGATATATCGTTTCCGATGTAACATTATCATTGGTAAGATTAATAGCAGATACATTTATGATTAATAACGAGAGAAAACCACTGAGAAATATGTTTGACATGCTTTTAAGAGTCTTACTTTATAGTTTAATAGTAACTATTTCAATTTTGTTTTAGAATTTTCTTATAAAGTAGATCTGCGAATACTGTGTTTTTTTTGAAAAATGATAACGTGACGGGCACGTCCTGATTATTTTGCTTTTTGTAGACAAATTTCCATCATTTTTACTTGCGTAATCGACCGATTATACTTAGATAATCATCTGTCATATTTTAACTGTCATTATAATGGGCGAAAAGATAATTTTTACGCTTCTGACCATCTGATAAGGAGATAACGTATTATTGATGTGAATATGACGAGCAATTATTAAATAAGAACACTGTAATGTCAGGAGGAATATATCTGCAGTAACATCGATTTTCTTTGATGTATCTGTATGATGATAAATGAATGATAAATGAATATATCGATGTTCCTTCCGTATAATAAATGACGAAATATATAATCTTATTTCATTAGATCTTAATTATGACAAATTCAATTATAATCTTATTTTTATCTAATTATAATCTTAATAAATTTATTTTATTATATTTAAATTATTTATTATTATTAATCAATTTTTTTAATTGGGAAACGCGTTTGATATATCTGCTCTGCGAAGTAAAAAATGTCAATGTACGGTATTTCGGTTTTTGAATCAAAAAACGCGTGCGTAATTGGTATCTTAACTTTCTGAAGTAAAAATTGTATTTTTTGCATTATTCTATTGTTTTTTTTATATAAAAAAATTGTTCAGCTGAAAGTAAAATTAGGAGAAAGAAATTGGGAGATTTAAATTTAATTTTATTGTGTTTTCTTCTGTATTATTTTTATTTATCTTTTTTAAATACAAGTATCTTATTTAATTGTTATAATAATCTATTAAATTCTATATAAAGTCAATTTTTTTATCCAAAACTAATATTGTAGAGGAATTTCTCTATTTATTATAATTTCTTTATTTTCTTTGTTACTCTTTACAATCCTTTTCCAGTTCTTAGGCTTGGAAGTAGATCTACCAACTACTAGTTCGAGAATAAACACTATAATAGCGCATGTATATCCAATTATGAGAATGTAGAAGCTGAACGCCAACTGCTTCAACACCATCACCTTAAAGCCTTTCTTCATCGTTTCTATTGTTTTTCTTCCACGTATTATCTCGAGGAGACTGTCAGCTCGCGATTTTTGAAACAAACCGGCTTCGTTCATATGTTGAAAAAGTTGATCTACCTGGTTGTACAGCGGCCAATCCTCGCGCGTGACGTAAGAATGTAATATCTCGATCAACATATTCGATTTGGCGAGATCTTGACCTTTGATTGTGTAGTACAAATGAAAGCAATCGCCGAGACACGCTGCGGTTGACGAATTCTCGACGTGTTGTTTGCACACGTCGTTCGGAACTTCAACGTAACGTGATTTGAGTTCAGGGTCGCTTATGAAACCTTTCAGACTTGATGATCCATATAAAGTGTAACCAGCTTTCTAAATTGTAAAAAGTCAATTGAAGTAATTTTTCATCAAAATATTAACAAGTTAATTAAATATTACGATATTAGTAGGAAGTTATGAAAATTAAAAATGACAGGGCTTAATAAATAATAAAATTATAAAACGATAGGAGCAAAATGAACCAAACCGCTAGGTATCAGTGCGATCGAACTTGTATTGTGTTAGAAAAACCATTAATATACAAACGTTTCAACCTGTCATCAGGCTACCATCAGTGTCAATTACATACATATATGAAATTTATTTATTTGACACTGAGGATAGCCTGATGACAGATTGAAACGTTTGTATATTAATGGCTTTTATAACACAATACAAGTTCGTTCGCACTGATATCTAGCAATCTGGCACATTTTGCTCCTATCGTCATATAATTTAATTATGAAAATATTTTTATTTCTTTGAAAAATATTTTATTGGAAATATTGTGATTTTATTTCTATACTATTTGATATAAACTTAGTTTTGACATCGCGCCGTACAAACAAATAATAAAAAGTTTTATTCTTACCTTAATCCCTTCTAAGGTGTCAATATCACGTATATAGACCGGCACAGTTAGCAAAGATAACAGGTGACTTTGGAAAAGAGCACTCACGTTCAGGAACAGAATGAGCGCCATGCATAGAAAGATTCTGGTGGAACTGATTTTCGGCGGACGAAACACTCCTACGCAGACCACGAGTCTGATCACCTGCAGTCCGGCCTTAATGTATCCCTCGTTCTTCGCAAAAATTAGATAAATGAGCAAACATATTATGATCATGCCTGCTATTACTTCCGGCGACATAAATGTTATTAGCTTGGTGAACTGTGATATTTCTGGGATCGGTTGCGTTATCACGCAAAGACCTGATCTCGTGTGGGGATACGTGTATCTAAATATAACAAATGTTATTTCTTATTAGTAACATTATCAAATGCTGCCTGTTAATTATTTTTATTCTCATCTACATAAAACGCATAAGAATAAACTATTTCGTTAAAGTGTTATTTTTACATTTCTATATTAAAATCTTCAAGAAGACTTACGATAAGCTTGATACATAAAATGTCATTTAGAATTTACAAATTTTTCTAACAAGGTATAGCAAAGATGTTAAATACGGTAGAAATTAAATTACATCGACGCGATTCCTCTGAGTATCAGAAATGATTTTCTATTTTTACGAATAATGTCGAGACGTACTTGACTTTCCACAATACGAGTAAAGCTCTCGTGTTCATGCCTATGTCAACTTTGCCGTCGCTTACGGAGGCCAGCAAACCTCCCAAAGTACCATTGGGTCCTATGCTACCGAGATCGTAGTGTTTGTAATACACTTTAACTGTTAGAACCGCTCGTAGTTTACCTACGAGTATTTTAATGATTTCACTATTGTCACCGTGAAATACATCTGCATTCCGTGCAGATAAATTCAATGTTATAAACGGTTCCATTTCAACAGCGTTTAATCGAATTTCATATCCCTTCAGATTACTTGTTTTATCGAAATCCATATCCTCGCATACATTCTGGTCTAAACACAATGATTATTTTTCATATTATTTATATTGTTAATTTGCACAAAATATTATAATACTAATTGTGTTTAATAAACTTGCGCTATGTAAACGTTAATAATTTTTTAAGTTTGAATCATACATAGAAATCTTGTTTTCGGCAATTTACAAAATTTATATAAAATAAATAAGTAAAATACTATTTTAGATTAAAATTATTAACAATTTATATATGCATTAAAGTGTTTCATTAAAAAAAGCGCTTACCGTACATAAATTTTTTTTTTAATATTATCACAGGATGGCCTTTTCGTCCTTTAGCACGTTCTACTTCGTCCCAGCCAGTCGGCGTACTGTTCGAATATGGATTATACGTATAATAAAAGATTTCACTCTGCTCAATGCATATGAATATAACTGAGAGTAAATCATATTCCCAAGCAGTCCAGAGAAATGAACGAGCGTTTATACAGCCTCGATACTCGGTCTGCCTGTCGATCAAGATAAAAAATCCGTCCGAATTTGCCCAAGGCGAATCCTTTATTTTCTATATGTGAGATTAAAGAAAACTGTTATCTTTATCTAATAAAAAAAATTTGCGTTTTACATCAAACTATTTATTTATTAGATTATTATATTATTTTTTACCTGCAAAATAGATTGTAATATGGGCTGAGAGGATGCTACCAACACGAAACGGTGCAGTTTTTGAAGAAAGTGAACGAAATTATAATTTTCATACATTTTGTACGAGTATCTTGTCAGAGCGAATTTCTCGAGTGCGTTATATCGATAACTACCGGTTTCCGCTACTAGAGCCACAGGTATATTGCCGAAAAACGCGTGTTTCAAAAATTCATCGCAGTCTCCACCTAAAAGCAAAGTTAATTCCGATTCTTCTGGCCGACATAAAGTCAGAATCCTTTCCTGCAAAATCAACACAGTATGATTTTTGCAAAATAGTTTTAAGTAATTGCTTATATTTGTTTGACAAGTTAAACAACATTATTATCAATAAAATTCGTTGACATGCAATAAATTGCATATAAAATAAATAAAATTATTTTAGAGATATATTATTAATTATTTTAATAAATTAATTGAACTTACCGCTACGTCGACTAAATCTTTATAATCATACTTGACGTCTGATGATATAATATTTTTATTAATAGCGAACGAAAACACATTTGTGATTAACAGCGAAAAAAGAACACAGAATAAGCTATTCGACATGCTTTCAGAAGTTTTACTATATAGTTACATTAATGTTAGCTCTTTTAAATGAAATTTTTCTTAGAAAGTAGATTTGCGCGCGAACATCACTGTTCTGTTGAAAAATGATAAAATGTCAGACATGTCTTGCAATCTTGTGTTTTATATGTTTTTATTCCTATCTGCATTATTTATCGATTATGCTTTGATAAGCTCTTGCTTACATTTCAACTTTTATCCATTATGCTTTCATCCATTTGGATAGACAGATAACGTACATAACTTTGATATTGGCAAGCTATTATTATATCAAAGCATTATAATAAAGTCAAAACGATTATATTTGCAATAACGTCGGATTTTTTAACGTATTTAAATGATGAACAAACTGTTTAAATAAAAGTGAAAGAATAAATAAATTATTGATCAAATTAAGGTAAGATTTGCTTTTTTAATATTATGTCTCTCTGTCTATTATACACCTTATTTTCAATCCACAACATATACATATACAAAATATTTAAAGAAGCAATAGGCGCATAGACGAATAATTGTACGCAAAATACATTTTCGTCAAATTGCAGATTTTTTTATCAATTCTGAGTCGACTTTTAAATATATTTGTGTACATAAATTTGTATTTTCAAACGATTAAACATAAAAAATAAAAAAACTAAATTTTAGAATTGCTAATGCCTGTCTAGATCGTAGAATGAATTTGTGTCTCATTCGAGTGAATAGTTCGACAAGTTAAAATTATACCAAAGCTTCTAATCATATCAACTGTATAAAATAACCTTTTTATGCAATTAATCTATTTTTATCCATTTTTTGAAATTGCAAACTTCTTCTACGGTTTTTAGATAGAGAAGAACAATTCTTCTTTCGTTTGTCGCTATAATACGCAATGAACGTTTGACAAGTATCTGAGGCAACTTATGTGAGTATATTGTGCGATCTGATGTACATCAACAAGGATTTCTCTAAAAGATTGGATCACTATTATTTACAATTGCATTTCAGTTATTAAAATAACTCCGATTGACGATATATAATGATATATTTCACGATGTATTTTTTTTCATCCGTTTTTTTGACCAGCGCAATTAATTATGTGTGTAAATAAGATATGTATTTATAATTGAAAAATTTTGATCAAAAAATTTTATTACAGAAGATTTTTTTATCTAGTTTGATATATATTTATTCTACTAAACAAAATGCTAATACTGCTAACATTCGATTATCTGCTGGGTATAAAAATTCGAAAGTGGGGAAAATTGAACAAACTGAGATATTTAAAATATTTTGCCAATATGTTGAGAAAATCAATTGGAATAAAATAATATATTTTATAAAAAAACTTTATTATTGTTCTTATTTTTGGTTGAAACAAATATATTGTTTTGTGTGCGTCTATGTTGTAATAATTTATTTAACTTTACACAAAGTAGATTTTTTAAATCTAAATTAACAATATTAAAATGTAGTGTCTATTCAAGCTTTCCTTTTCTTTCTTTTGTTGTTGATTTTTTTCCAATTTTCAGATCCGGTGGCGGACCTAGCAATCACTAATTCCAGAATGAAGACTATAATAGCGCATACATATCCAAATATGAGAAAGTAAAAGCTGAACGCCAGTTGTTTCAACAACATCACTTTAAAGCCTTTTTTCATCGATGATCTTTTTTTTCTATTTCGTGTTATCTCTAAGAAACTCTCACTTTGACTTTTCAGTATCAAACCGGCCTGACTCATCAGTTGAATAATGTGGTCTACCTGATTGTAAAGTGGCCAATCCTCGCGGGTGACATATGACTGTGTCACCTCGCGTAGCGTCCTCGACATGGTAAAACGTCCACCTTTAATTCTATAATACATGTGGTAACACTCGCCGAGACACGCGGCGGTTGATGAATTTTCGACGTGCTCTTTGCACTCGTCGTATGAGACTCCTACAAAACGCGATTCGAGAACAGGATCGCCTAAGAAACTTTTCAGGTTTGCCGGTCCGTATATAGTGTATCCAGCTCTCTAAATTAGAATAAATTTTTAACAGGTCGATTAGCTGAATAATATCAATAAGATATTTTTTTGAAAAATATTTATTAAAAAATAATATAAATTTAAATTGTGTTTCTCGTAATCTTTCATGGGAATTTAGATTCGCCAATGAGTACTCAAACCGAAGCAAACAATAAGACAAAATTGTGATTCTTACCTTAAGGCCTTCAACGCTGTCGATATCGCGGACATAAATCGGCAGCGTGAGCAAAGATGATAAATGACTTTGGAATAGAGCGCTTATGTTAAGAAACAAAATGAGTGCCATGCATAGAAAGATTCTGGTGGAATTGACTTCGGGTGGTCGCAAAACTCCTACGCAGACCATAAGTCTGATCACTTGCAGTCCTGCCTTCACATATCCATCGTTCTTCACAAATAATACATAAATAAGCAGACATATCATGATTATTCCCACTATTATTTCTGGCGACATAAACGTTATTAACTTGGTGAATTCTGAAATTGCTGCGACCGGTTGCGTTATCACGCAAATGCCTGACTTTGTGTGTGGATACGTGCATCTAAAGCCAATAAATGTTATTAAGATAATTAATAATTTATTTACTGTATTAAATACATGAGAGTAATATGTGTTATTAATTATTTTGTGCAGTCTATAACAACATTTACTTTTTAACCTTAAAAAGTCTTACGGTAAATTAATAGCCTTAATATAGAGAATAAGATACAGAATTAATAAATTGTTTAAAAATTTTTAAATAGCACAAATTTATTTAATTCAATTCTTATACAAACAATTCTGAACGCACGATCGGGATATCGAATAATCTCAGAAATCAAACTTTCCGCAAGGTTTCTTAAGATCAGAAATTATTTTCTGTTTTTGTAGTTGATGTTAAAACGTACTTGACTTTCCATAATGCGAACAAAAATCTTGTGTTCATGCCTATATCTACTGTACCATCGCTCACAGGTGCCATCATGTCCTCAAAGGTACCATTGGGCCCAATACCGCCGAGCGCATACGGGGTGGCGTTATAGAGCTCGATGACAAGAGACGCTCGTTGTTTAAGTAAGAGTATTTTGATAATTTCACTGTTATCACCGAGAAATTTCTCGAGTTTCGGTGCAGATAAATTGACCTTTATAAACGGTTCTATTTCAACAGCATTTAATCGAATAAGATAACCCTTCAGATTGTCCGTTTTATCAAAGTCCAAATTATTGCATATTGTTCTGTCTAAACATACAACGATTATTGTTGAAATTATAAAAAATTATATAACGTGCCGTAATATGGAATATTCCTTTTTGCATTAGTACAAATTCTGCTAGCTTTATAGCGTCTGCTTATAATTATTAAAAATAATTCTATTAAAAACAATAATCTAATCAAGAGATACGTACTGTGCACGAATCTTCGTTTCATTATTATATAAGGATGGCCATTTCGTCCTTTAACACGTTCTACTTCGTTCCAATCGGGCGGTGTACTGTTCGAATACGGATTATGCGTGTAATAAAAAATCCCGTCCGGTTCGACGCACATGAAGATGACCGAGAGCAAGTCATATTTCCAAGCAGTCCAGAGAAATGAACGAGCGTTTGTGCAGCCCCGAAACTCGGTCTGCGTATCAACCAAGATAAAAAATCCGTCCGAATTCGCCCACGGTGAGTCCTTTGTTTTCTACGTAAAAGATGCAAAAAGAATTTCTAATCTTGATTACAATTAATAAAGAAGACTCTATGAAACTCCTTGTTTTTTATATTAACTTATTAAACTATTATGTTATCTTTTACCTGCAAAATCGATCGCAATATAGGCTGAGAAGATGCCACTAACACGAAGCGGTGCACTTTTCGAAGAAAATTAAAGAATTTAAAATTCTGATACAGTGTGAAGGAGTATCTTGTCAAGGCATACTTTTCTAGAGCGTTAAATCGAGAGCTACCGGTTCCCCAATCAGAGCAACCGGTACATTGGCGAATAATGCTCTTCTAAGAAATTCGTTATAGTCTCCGCCTAAGAGTAAAGTTAACTCAGGCTCTAGTGGTCGACACCAAATTAAAATCGATACCTTTAAAGTTAATATAGTATTAATTTTATTATAAAAGAATGTATGCGTTTTTAAATAAATGTCTGGTAATCAAAATGTTAGTAATGTTGATTGATTGATGGGAAATTTGCTGTTGGTCAACATTGCTAATATTTGGTTATTTCGGTATACATATTCGTATCTTTGACATTATAGCGTATAATATGTATAGAATAGCTTTGGAAATATTATTTTGATCATAATTTTAAATATTTTTTTGAAAATATAACTTACCGTTGCGTCGATTAAGTTTTGATAACGATATTTTATTTTCGACGATTCAACATTATCATTGGTAAGATTAATAGCAGATACATTAATAATTAATAACGAGAGAAAACCACTGAGAAATATGTTTGACATGTTTTTAAGAGTCTTACTTTATAGTTTAATAAAGAGTAACTATTTTAATTTTGTTTCAAAATTTTCTTATAAAGTAGATCTGCGGACTCCGTTGTTTTTTGAGAAATGATATCGTGACACGTACGTCCAGATTATTTTGCTCTTTGTAGACAAATTTTCATCGTTTTTACTTGCGTAATCGACCGATTATATTTAGATAATCATCTGTCATATTTTAACTGTCATTATAATGGGGGAAGGGATAATTTTTACGCTTCCGTCTATTTGATAGGAGGATAACGTAATATTGATGTGAATATGACGAGCTATTATTGCATAAGAATATTGTAATGTCGGGAGGAATATGTATATCTGCAGTAACATCTATTTTCTTTGATGTATTTATATGATGATAAATGAATGATAAATGAATATATCGATGTTGCTTCCGCATAATAAATGATCAAATATGTTATCTTATTTCATTAGATTTTAATTACGACAAATCTAATTATAATCTTATTATTATTTAATTATAATCTTAATAATTTTTTTTTATTAGATTTAAATTACTCATTATTATTTATCATTTTTCTAAATTGGAAAACGCGTGCGCATTTGATATCTCAGCTCTCTTAAATAAAAAACGTCAATGCTTACAGTATTTCGATTTTTCAAGCTAAAAACCCGTGCGTAATTGATATCTTTGCTTTCTAAAGTAAAAAGTGTATTTTCTGCAATATTCTATTGTTTTTTTTTTTTTTTTTTTTTTTTAATAAAAAAGTCGATTAGAGCTGAAAGTAAAGGAGAAAAGAATTGGGAAGTTTAAATTTAACTTTAGTGTGTTTTCTTCTGTATTATTTTTATTCATTTTTTTTTAATACAAGTATCTTATTTAATTATTATTGCAAACATTAATAGCAAATACATTTATGATTAAGAATGAGAGGAAATCCCTGAGAAATATGTTTGACATGCTTTCAAGAGTCTTACTTTATAATTTAATAGTAACTATTTTAATTTTATTCAAAAATTTTCTTATAAAGTAGATCTGTGAACACACCGCTGTTATTTGTTATAATAATCCATTAAATTCTATATAAAGTCAACTTTTTAATCCAGAACTAATATTGTAAAGAAATTTCACTATTTATTATAACTTCTTTATTTTCTCTCTTACTCTTTATAATCTTTTTCCAGTTCTCAGGCTTGGAAGCAGATCTACCAATTAGTAGCTCGAAAATAAAGACTATAATAGCGCATGTATATCCAATTATGAGAATGTAGAAGCTGAATGCCAACTGCTTCAGCAACATCACCTTAAAACCCTTCTTCATCACCTCTCTTGTTTTTCTTTCACGTTCTATCTGTAGGAGACTGTTAGCTCGCAATTTTTGGACCAAACCGGCCTCGTTCATCTGTTGAAAAATATAATTTGCCTGGTTGTACAGCGGCCAATCCTCGCGGGTGACGTAAGAATATAAGATCTCGATCAACATATTCGATTTGACGAAATCTTGATTTTTGATCATGCAGTATAAATAATAGCATTTGCTTAAACAAGCTGCGGTTGACGAGTTTTCGACGTGTTGCTTGCACACATCGATCGGAACTTCAACGTAACGTGATTTGAGTACGGGATCCCTTATGAAACCTTTCAGATTTGATGATCCGTATAGAGTGAAACCAGTTTTCTGAATTATAAAAAGTTAATTAAAATAAATTCTCATAAAAATATCAACAAGTTAATTAAATATAACGATATTGGTAAAAAATTATAAAAATATCTTTATTTCTTTGAAAAGTATTTATACTAGAAATATTGTGACTTTATTTCTATATTATTTAATATACAGTAGCAGTCAATGAAATGTAGTCAGCAGGTTTCTTCGAAATAACCTGTCCTTGATAAATACTGTAAGGTAAAAAAAATTAAATTAGGTTTATTTAGGTATATATAGATAATTAATACGAGCTAAGAATTAATTCAAGTTTACATTTATTTTCAAAAAGTGTCGTGCAGTATTTGTAAAAATGGTAAATCACCGAAAAATGATTGAAAGTAAAAAATCACATATATCACAAAATATTAGTTATTGTTAAAAAATATTAATAATGGTTATAATTATTTATTTGTTCCTATAATTGTTATTGATATACGTGTGAAATACAAATTTATTAAGCAAGTATTGTTTCTATTGTATATTGTCCTATTTTTATAAATATGTAAAAATATATTAAAACAATTCAACTAAAATGTTCTAATCAAAATTATAAGTCGTTAATAATGCCCTTTAATATAAATTTTACGATTTAGTATAGTAGGTATTTTGCTTCAGAGTTTAAGGAAAACAATAATTTTGGTGAATACATTTCATTGACCGTTACAGTAAATTTAGCTTTGGCATCGCGCCGTGTACAAACAAATAATAAAAAGTTTCGCTTTTACCTTAATCCCTTCTAAGGTGTCTATATCACGTTTATAGATCGGCACGGTGAGCAAAGATAACAGGTGACTTTGGAAAAGAGCATTCACGTTCAGGAACAGAATGAGTGCCATGCATAGAAAGATTCTGGTGGAACTGATTTTCGGCGGGCGAAACACTCCTACGCAGACCACGAGTCTGATCACTTGCAGTCCGGCCTTAATGTATCCCTTGTTATTCGCAAAAATTAGATAAATGAGCAAACATGTTATGATCATGCCTGCTATTACTTCCGGCGACATAAATGTTATTAGCTTGGTGAACTGTGATACTTCTGGGATCGGTTGCGTTATCATGCAAAGACCTGACCTCAATTGAGGATACGTGTATCTAAATATAACAAATGTTATTTCTTATTAGTAATATTATTAAATGCTGCTATTAATTATTCTCATCTACATAAAACGCATAAGAATACTCTATTTCACTAAAGTGTTTATTATTTTTTGCATATTTTGTCTATATTAAAATATTTATTCTTAAGAGAACTTGCGATAAACTTGATCCAGCATAAAATGTAATTATTAGAATTTATAAATTTTTTAGGTGTATAATAGAGTGTTTCATATTTTTTTCTCTAATTTCTTTCCGTGGATCGTATAAATCCACTTAATTGAAATCTAACAAAGTATAGCAAAGATCAAATATGGCAGATTAAATTAAATCGACGCGATTCCTCTTAAGATTAGAAATTATTTTCTATTTTTATGAATAATGTCGAGACGTACTTGACCTTCCATAATACGTGTAAAGCTCTCGTGTTCATGCCTATGTCAACTTTGCCGTCGCTTATGGAGGTCAGCATACCTCGCAAAGTACCATTGGGTCTTATACTATCGAGGTCGTGGTGTTTGTCACACACTTTAACACTTAAGGTCGCTCGTAGTTTATTTACGAGTATTTTAATGATTTCACTATTATGACCGTGAAATTTATCTGCATTGTGTGCAGATGAATTAATTGTTATGAACGGTTCCATCTCAACAGCGTTTAATCGAATTGCGTATCCCTTTAGATTACTTGTTTTATCGAATTCCATATCCTTGCATATATTCTGGTCTAAACACAATAATTATTTTTCGCATTATTCATATTATTAATTTGCACAAAATATAATAGCAATTGTTTAATAAACTTGCGCTATGTAAGTTTTAATAATTTTTTAAGTTTAAATCACATATAGAAGCTTGTTTTCGGCAATTTACAAAATTTATATAAAATAAATAAGTAAAATACTATTTTACATTAAATTTATTAACAATTTATATATGCATTAAAATGTTTCATTAAAAAAAGCACTTACCGTACATAAATTTTTTTCTTAATATTATCAAAGGATGGCCTTTTCGTCCTTTAGCACGTTCTACTTCGTCCCAGCCAATCGGCGTACTGTTCGAATATAGATTATACGTATAATAAAAGATTTCATTACTCTGCTCAATGCATATGAATATAACTGAGAGTAAATCATAATTCCAAGCAGTCCAGAGAAACGAACGAGCGTTTATACAGCCTCGATACACGGTCTGCCTGTCGATCAAGATAAAAAATCCGTCTGAATTTGCCCAGGGCGAATTCTTTATTTTCTATATGTGAGATTAAAGAAAACTGTTATCTTTATCTAATAAGAAAAATTTGCGTTTTACATCAAACTATTTATTTATTAGATTATTATATTATTCTTTACCTGCAAAATAGATTGTAATATGCGCTGAGAAGATGCCACCAACACAAAACGGTGCAGTTTTTGAAGAAAGTGAACGAAATTATAGTTTTCACGCATTTTGTACGAGTATCTTGTCAGAGCAAAATTCTTGAGAGCGTTATATCGATAACTACTGGTTTTCGCTACTAGAGCCACAGGTATATTGCCGAAAAACGCGTGTTTCAAAAATTCATCGCAGTCCCCACCTAAGAGCAAAGCTAATTCCGAATCCTCTGGCCGACATAAAGTCAGAATCCTTTCCTACAAAATTAACACAGTATGATTTTTGCAAAATAGTTTTAAGTAATTGCTTATATTTGTTTGACAAATTAAACAACATTATTATCAATAAAATTCGTTGACATGCATTAAATTGCATATAATATAAATAAAATTATTTTGGAGATATATTATTAAATATGTTACTAAATTAATTTAACTTGCCGTTACGTCGACTAAATCTTTATAATCATACTTGACGTCTGATGATATAATATTTTTGTTAAAGGTAAACGAAAACACATTTGTGATTAACAGTGAAAAAAGAACACAGAATAATTTATTCGACATGCTTTCAGAGGTTTTATTTTATAGCTACATTAATGTTGGCTCTTTTAAATAAAATTTTTTTTAGAAAGTAGATCTGTGCGCGAACACCGCTGTTCTGTAATAATGAAACATGTTTTGCAATCTTGCGTTTTATATAAGTTTTTATTTCTATCTGCATTATTTATCGATTGTGCTTAGATAAGCTCTTAATTATATTTCAACTTTTGTCCATTATGTTTTTATCCATTTGGATAGATAGATAACATACATAACTCTAATTTTGACGAAATTTACAACATTAAGTAATTCATAAATCATTATTGAAGCTATATAATAAAATCGAAAGGAATATGTCTGGAATAATATCAGTCGTCTTTGACGTACTTATATAATAATACGATAAATGTATATGTGAATGTTGCCCTCGTAATAGATAGATTAACCGCCGACAATAGAGTTTAACACGACGGAACGGACTGAAAGGTATTTGACTTCATCTGGTGCGCGTTGTCTAAGTGTGCATTTATTGCACAATAACTATAATCTGTGTTTTTATACACACTATTTTATACATCTGAATCATTCGTTTTTTTTTTTTTTTTTAAGAAATTTGCTGAAAATAAACAAATCAAGTCTTAATCCTTTTATTTTTTTATATAATAGCATACGTTTTAATATATACTTTATATTTTATCAAAATGTATCTTTCACGCTAATGTAGTCTGATTTGTAATACATTAAACTGCTAATAGCGGTATCTAATGTGTATGTCATTATATATTCTGTAGGAAATTAAAGATGCAAGATTTAGAGAGATGAAGAAGATTGCATACACAATTTGTAGATATATTTCTCAATGTTCTCCATTTCGTAACAGCGCATTAAAGAAACTTCCTTCTCTCCGTCACATTTGCATACATATATAGCAGAATTCAGCGACACTTTTTAAATAATCTTTTTGCCTGCCCGATATATAATTGTTATGTCCCCTCGTTACGCTTTGTTCTACGAGCCCTACACTATTAGTAGTTCCATTATTCTTTTACGATTTGATGGCAAGCGCGATTCGCGCACATTAAGACGCTTCTACGCTTTCACATTCCAATACACTTTTATGTGTAGATAGAAGAAGATAACGCGCCATGGTATTTCGAGGGAACTAATTACACATCTAATGTTATGTTCCATAAATTACGAGCATAATAACATGATAAAATCTCACCAGCCTAAATGGAAGCATCGTGCAACAGTTCTACTCTGTTAATGCGAAAAGATGTTATTACGTCTGTAGTTGTGAAACGTTTCTGTAAGAACAGAAATGTATTGAGCAAACGTCAATTTTCTACTGAGATTTCTTACATATATTTTATACATTACATAAACATCATACGTTTTTATTAAAAAATATTTATATATTTTGTATCATAAAATCCTTAAATTAATAATAACTTTTGAACAGTAAAATATATTAATAATTATTTATCTTAATTTTTGTAAATAGCATTAAATCGATGAATTCAATACGTGAATCAGTGAAAGAATTCGAGATTCGAGCACGGTCCAAGAATCTCTGTGCGTAATCTACGCATCGGACGTAATTCTATAAAAAAAAAAGAATGCAAAATGCGACGTATCGTGCAGTACCATGCAATTTTAATTAATAGATAATGTTGCCACTTAGCCGCGCGAGACGTGCGATAAACGGCGAGAAAATCGTCGCGGCGAACGCGAGATGAACGAAGATGACTCCTCAAGGTGGGAGGTGGCTCCCCACTATTCGCACGCGGAAACAGACGGCTCGGAAGAGGACCGAGTAGAGGAGATAGTTTTGTACAACCGGTCGCTGCGTAGAGTCCGTCTTGTATTCTCGTGGACGAACCGGGAACCGGTTCCACGGGGAACTCAACACGCTGGTCCAGAAGGAGCGAGCACGATGCACCATCCACTGGGAACCGCGCGGTGGACATCGCTCTTTCTGATCCCGCTGCTCGTGACGACTCACGCGACTGCAGCGAAGCAACCGCACATTATTTTTATTCTGGCGGACGATTTGGCAAGTTTCTTTTCGTGCTTTTGCGATAAATTATGTTCGAGCTTTGAGAAATAGTTGATAAGAGTAAGTTGATAAAATAAATGTTTCGAAAAAAGTCTTTTTCATTTCTAGACGATGCTAGAAAAGTATGCCACTATATACAAATGTGCTAAAGATAAGTGAAGATTGCGTAAAGAATGAGCTTAGCATTTTTTATTAGTATTCGTTAGTTTTATATTATTAGTTTATTACTGAACAAAATGTATTATTTTAACTAATCTTCTACGATTTATTCTAATCGATACAGATTTTTTATAATATTTAAATACACGCGAGGTCTGTTTAAAAAATAATGAGAATGCTTTTTAAAAATTTATGTGTTGAGATTTTTATATATTATATATAATCTCTTTTAAACTATGAACTTTAGGAATGCACTACGCGCAGTTTTATCATTCTTGCTAATATAATTCTGAAAGTTTTTATCTATTAAAATATTTACAGTTTGCGAACTCGACTTTCTGGATGTTATCTAATGTCCCATGACGTCGATCTTCTAACTGAAGATTTATCTTTGAAAAAAGAAAAAAACCTAATCTTCAAATTGTAGGGTGGATGTCGCGCATTTCATTCGAACTGTTTTCCCTGTTCAAAACTCTCTAACTGCAGGCTATAAAAAGATCGGCATCACGGAACGTTAAACAACATCCAGAAAGCCGTGAGACAAAAGGTAAACACTTTAATAAACGAAGATTTCCGGAACTATTACTCGGAATGGAATCACTGGAGAACAGTATGAGCGTTCGTATTTTGGGGATATCATAAAGTTTGAATACAAAAACGATTTATTAATTACATAAATATAGCATATGCGTACTTTTGTTGTACTATTTTCTAAAAAGAAAAAGTGCAGTGAGCCAATTTAATGTTAAATAAAATTACAAAGCTCAACAGGATCGTTTCAATTCGTTCTTACTCTTATCAGGGATGGAATGACGTCGGCTTTCATGGTTCCGGCCAAATCCCAACGCCGAATATCGATGCTCTGGCGTATTCTGGACTGCTGCTCGATAGATATTATGTCACTCCGATCTGCACGCCATCCAGAAGCGCTCTGATGACCGGCAAATATCCCATTCATACTGGAATGCAGCATGGCGTAAGTGCTAAAAGTCTCGCGGTACATCTCACCCTATTAAGAGTTCAAGCGCATAATAAAAACGCAGAAGAGACGCGGACGACACAAACGGCGAATAATAACCGCGGTTTCTGACAGTCCTAAAACGAATATATTTTGCGACTAGATCATTTTATTAAAGAAATCTGAATCTGTTTATTTTTTTAAATGTTACTTTCTGAAATTGTGATAGCGCATCAGATATCGTCAAATTATTTCAACTGCCGTTACACCTGTCAATGGATTGATGCAATTGAGAGCTATCAGTTAGCGGAAACGTTGTTGTTCGGCTTGCAGCGGCATACAAAAGGGGATATTATGCACTCGCACTTTTGACGCGTTGACCTGGATAGTTCAATTGGAAATTATCATACTGGGTAGACTTTACTACTTTATTCACACGTTCCGCATTGCAAATGCGTCACAAAGCAGATGAAAATGACGTAAAATCAATATGCTTTCATTATTGTTACTTAATAGTATTAATTGAATAATGCTTTTTTCAGCAATTTTTTAACTTATAGGATATTAAATATCATTAAGATATTAAAAATGTAATAAATGTTTATTAAATGTATATTATAAAAAAATACATATTTTTTTAAAGTTTGATAAATTTTTTTTAAAAAGCAAAATGTTAGATTATTTGTCTTTGTAAATATTAATTTAACTAATAAGATGCTAACAAAGTGCCAATTTTTTAATTTCTTATTATAAAAGAAGAAACTTTTATGCTACTTTTATGTATCTTTTAAACTGGAATTTTATGAATAATTCAGGTTCTCAAAGGTGCCGAGCCTAGAGGATTACCACTACGCGAAAAGATCTTGCCGCAGTATTTACGAGAACTTGGATATAGCACGCACATCGTCGGCAAATGGCACTTAGGATTCTACAAAAAGGAGTATACTCCGACTTACAGAGGATTCGACACCCACACTGGTTTCTGGACAGGTCATCACGACTATTACGATCATACAGCCGTTGAAAATGTGAGCAAACCCAGGTAGAAATTTCCCTCGATCTGCCCTGAATATATACGGGCCCCGTATGGGAAATATTAGCTTGGAAAATCCGGACGGCGAAAATCTTGGCTTTTCGCTATAAATTTTCCACGATTTTTCCCAGGTTTTAATTAAAAAATATCTATCTATATTTTTTCCGAGATCTGGTCGCGGGTTCGATCAGGGAAAAAGCAGTATTTTTATTCTGAACTTTCAGATTATTTTAACGTTTGTTAAATATTTTACGGCTCAAAATAGTAACACCTTACAGCATATCAAAGAGTTTTACGGTTCGAAATAAAAGAAAAACCGGTTTGAAACGTACAAAATGTGTGATCGCATATTAGCGGTTTCTCGTCTATTGTTGAGGAAGCGAAAATATCGGGCGAGGAAAAAATTAGAAACAAAAATAGTAAACATCAAAATTGAAAGTGACACGTCTGACGAAAGTGACTTGATAAAAAACAAGTATTCGCGATCTAACAGTAATAAAGATAAAAAAAACCGCCAATAAAATATATAAGGAGGAAATATTTATTTATTAATATTACAAGTTATTATTATTATTATTATTATCGAACAATCCAGGAGAATACCCGGGTAAAATAAGGGTCCTAGGCGGGAGTTCCAGGATAATTTCT